TTTTTTTTTTTTTACGACCATTTACCTTTTTCGAATCAAGTCAACGATTTTTTTGTGGTCACATAGCGACTGGCATAAAAGTAATTGAGTTTTGTACCATTCCGATGAAGTAGCGATTTTAAAAATAAATTAAAAAAAATTCCAGTCTAAAATGACCGAACAGCACTAAAAGGTTAATGAGAATATGTGCTAATCAAGTTTATACTAAAACAGATAAAACAGCCAGTCAGATCATCCTGAAGGTGTACGTCTGAATTTTAGAACAATGGGTTAAAGTAGGCGGTCTGTAACTAAGGAGGCGTGTCTTGTGCGTAAAGGGGGCGGGGCTCGAAGAGTTCCTCACTCTCATGTGTTTGAAGCAGGTTTGAAGCAGTCAGCTGAGCCCAACTTGTGCGGACGCGGCTCTAACATCGTACAACATGCAGGATCACAAGCAACACGTTTAACCCTGTGCACTGTTTGTCATTCCAACGTGTACAGAAAACAATCCAGTTAAACACCCTCTCTTTTAATTCCACGTCGCCGTTCTTTCCCCGTGAAGAATACCGATTTGAAGGTGAGTATTCCAGATTGTTTGGATGGATGGGGGGTGTGAGAGAACCTATGGTTTCGTGTTAATGCTATATCTATACGGTTATAATTTAGAAACATGCATTTATAAAGTGTTTTGAATGTAATTTACTGTCAAAACATACCAGTCAACAAAGGAGTGGCTCACAAATTTCACAATGTGCTCGATTTAAGGTAAACTTGCTATTTATGAATGAGATGCATGCATGCATATAAGCTTTATGAGTGAAACTAATCTCGTCTAATCACAGTCAGGTTTGCAGCCGATATATACCGGTAAACTTTGCGCACGCGTGTTTACAAATAACTTCAAGAGTTTATGTATTTATATCGTATTTATAGATTCACTTCTATGTCGTGCTTACTGTTAAGTCATCTTTTCTTTAGGGTTTGCAATCGGGAACCGATTTTTAAAAAAATAAAATACTGGAACCGAATTATTTTCTTGATGTGATTTTCATGATCTGTTAACGGATCAAATGATGCGGACACCGACTACTGACAGTTTTTAATGCATTACTGCTCGTTAAAACGTCGCTAGTGGGTAAACAGCGCGAAACACACCAATTCCTTAACTTACAGTGAGTTAAACACACACCCGACGGCGACAATGAGTTAAAGGGGTCATATGATGCGATTTCAATTTTTCCTTTCTCTTTGGAGTGTTACAAGCTCTTGGTGCATAAATAAGATCTGTAACGTTGCAAAGACTAAAGTCTCAAATCCAAAGAGATATTCTTTATAAAAGTTAAGAGTCAACCACGCCTACCTAAAACTGCTCGTTCTTACAAGCCCCCACATGTCTACCTCGGGATGTGTGAAGATTTGCATAACGCCACCCAAATGTTCACGCAAAGAAATAACTTTGCGCTGTGGATCACCGGATCGGCTTTCACCGTGGACGAAGCGGAGTCCAGCCCGGGGTCGCCACATGTGGTTGCCGCAAGCCTGCCCGCCGCTGCTCACTCAAGCTGGCCTCCGCTCACTCTAGGCCCCCGGCCGCTGCTTACTCTAGGCCCCCGGCCGGTGCTCACTCTAGGCCCCCGGCCGCTGCTCACTCTAGGCCTCCGGCCTCTGCTCACTCCAGCCCTCCGTGTGTGACGCTGTGTTTCGTTGTGAAAGCGAAACTACTTTGTTTGGCCTTCCAAAAGAGGACACGACTAGAAATCAGTGGTTAAGTTGTATTTACAACACTGTTCCAGAACAGTTCAACCCAAATATTCACTTTAAAAACACACACACGGCCAATAGTCCGGTTCGCCAAATGAGTGTCTCTTGCGAGCTGGTTCTTTTTAGTGAATCAAAAACATTCAGCGCCACTGTGGAGTCGTATTCCTGAACAAATGATTTTCATGACTCGGTTCTTTGTAGCGAATCAACATCATAAGAGCGCCACTTTGTAGTCCGATTCCAGAATGACTCTTATGAGCTGGTTCTTTCTAGTGATTCTGAATCAACCGGAGCGGTTATTGATTTAATCTGACTTGCTGAACAATTACTTTCGTCGTGTCTGAAGAAAAGCAAGAAAAGTTACTGTGTTATGGTAAGTACTTGTGAGAGTGTTAGTTAATTACTGGTTGTTCTTATGACAGTAGTTAAAGATGTACATTGAGTTTTATTGCAGGCTAATTAGTGGTAGTTTGAAAAATGAAATGTCACCACGTTTGTTTAGTGTTTTTATTTAATGTATAGGGTCAGTTATTGGGTTGCATTTATGGCACCTCTAAATGGTCTATGTAAACAAACATTTTGAAAGAATTTTATTACAGTTATTTCCAGTGTTGGGCAAGTTACTTCCAAAATGTAATACATTATATCTGATTTGAGTTATGCTGAAATCTGACATGATTTCTGGGAAAGTTCTATGATTCCCATTCTGAATTTTGCTGCGGATATTTGGCCTTAACGTTGTTTCCATGCGTTTCTGACCTGATGTATGGCTTTAAGATAATAGTTCTAATCTTATGTGAGAGTCTAATGCTTGATCTTGATGTTCTGCATTGAGCTATTAGACTGTAAACTGCATCATAATCTTACATTATGGGATTGTGCAAATGTTTGATTTGCATGTCACAAATGCAAATGAGCTGTTTTTCATTTCAAACAGTTGTCCAAAGAAATTGTCCAGAAAAGTTATGTAATATTCTTGTGCGAGAACTCTCTCTTTCTCTCTCTCACACACATACGCTAACACAAAGGAGGTGTACCTGTTTTCTTTAGTCAAGGAAGGAAGGGAAGTTGTTCGGTGGTTCAACAATAGACTGGCCGAGTGCAGGGGTTGGATTTTTAAAGGCATGTTCAGGCACACATATAAGAGTATGTCATTCTCCCTCTCTCACATACATCTCAACTAGAAACGTGTGGGTTTTATTTGGCAGAGATTCTGCAAAAAGCAATGAAGCAAGACGACAACTCCAAATTGCCGCCTCCAGGGCTAGAGAGTTCAATTTCATGTCATTTCAGTTCACAATTTCATATATCTAGTGTTCACTAAGGGAGGTAAGAATAAGGAGAAGCTTGATAACATCAAACACGTCAACATATTCTGGTTCAGATGGCACAGATTGTATCTTATTTCACTTATCCCCATTTTTGGGCATCAGTTTTATCTGTAAGCCAAGATGACATGTCATTAGTTATATTTATAGTTGTATAATTAGGTTTGGTGTTTGAGATGTATCTTGATGTGACATTTAGGAGTATTCACACAGGGGTTTGTGGCAACAAAAAAACCAACAGTTTTCATTTTTATTGCACATTTTGGAAGATAAAGTGATATCCATTACCTTATTAAACCTCTTTATTTCTCTTATTTTTCCCCTTGTTTCTCATGTTGCTAATTGTCTCCCACCATCCTACTTTATCTGGCTATGTTCCCTCAATCTTTAGCAACAAATGTAAGCGTTCATCCTAAAAATAAACAAATCAGCATGCACTCTACAGTTCTGTGAAACAGCAGTTATCTTGCTAAAAAGGAATGCAAGAGATAGAGAGAGAAAGAAATGTGAAATAGTAGTTTATGCACTATTATTAGCATTGGCCACATAGAGTCTTGGGGGGGGAAAGAGAATAAGCAAAGATTTCGACTGAGAGTAATGTTACATGTGCTCTTAATTTAACCATTGGTGACTGATCCAAGACCCATTGTGTTTGTTTTGGTCAGACTTGCTGAAGTCTATACAAAAGTGGTTTCGGTCAATCCAAAGGCAGTTTATTTAAAGTAGGAGTTCACTAAAACTACACATGAACTGTCATAACCCATCAAACTCTGCTGGCTTGCATAGACAGTTAGTGGGAACTCGTGTCGGTTTGTGTTGCGCTTCAGACTCTGTCTCCAGTCTGGTTTTTCTTTTTTCTTTCTTTTGTTTTGTGGGTGGTCCATATTTGATAGATTCTGACCTGATTTTGGAGTCTTGGAACACACACATACCTAGCTGCCTCCGATGGACCGTCAGTCCGTCACAGGGCAGTAGTTCTTTTGATCTCCCCACCGTACCACTGCTGGCTTCCAAAGCTTAAAGACCCTCCATGCAATCCAATATGGCACAATGTACCACTCGTCTCTTTTGTCCACTATATTCTTCTACAGCACAGTGTTATGAACAGATCAGCTCTGATGGTTACTAGTCTAATATTGTAAAAAAAAAATTCATTCACAGCAAAAGCTTAACTTTGTTGTATAACTTATATTTTTTGAATCAATTCATGTTGACCTTTGACCTGAATCACCCTATTAGCCAAGATTACTGTTTAAATGTAGAAAATTAAATATCCAGTATCCAATGATAAATATGCAATATTGGTCAATAACAGATGCCCTATTTCGACCAATAACCAACATAGCTTGACGTGTAAAAAATGGACCTTGTCTTCAAGCAACATTCCTTCAAAGTTTTGGGTGGAGTGGAAGACTCTGGAAGTCTTGGAAGGTTCTGGGCATTTCTGCCTGTTTACTTGGGTATGTGGTGGTTAGGGCTGGGCTATTTTGCAAAAAATTTAAATCTCGATTTTTCCAGAATGTTTGACCGATTCTCGTTTTTTTACGATTTTTAACTAGTCAACTTGAAAATGTAACTACAACATGATTCAAGTTACTTTTTCTTTATTAACCTTCTAGTTAAAGAAAATTCTATTCCAAGTGCAGCACACATGGAGTTGTCAACATGATGTAAATGTTAAACAAATCACTTGTTAAATATTTTTGCAGAAAAGATGCAAAAACTACAACTACATATTGTACAAACTTGTCTTATACATATTATGTGTTCAGAAATAATACGAGGAAAATTATTTTAGAAAATCTCAAAAGCTACAAAATCAAACATCAGAAGACTACAGAGAACGGTTCGGAATGCTGAAAGGATTATTGGTGCTCCCCTGCCCACCCTTCAAGAACTGTATACATCCAGAGTGAGGAAAAGGGCTCAGAAAATCACTCTGGATCCCTCACATCCAAGTTATCCCCTTTATGTTCTATTCCATTCTATCATCTATAGCACAACTGTACATACAATTTATTTTTCAAAATTTGTTTATTAATATTTACTTTAATATTAATAAATAATATTTATATTTACATGTGTATTTTTTTTTTAATTCTCAGCTTATTTTTTATTGTCTCTGTGTACTGGAAGCTTATGCCACTAAAACAAATTCCTTGTATGTAAATTCCTTGCATACTTGGCAATAAAGCTCTTTCTGATTCTGAAAATGACTGAAGGTATAACACCAGTAGACTTTTATTAACTATAAATGTTCTTTAAAAACAACAGCAGCTTTCAGCCTGTCACCATGATGCAAACATGAAATATCAGACATAGTAGTTATTTACAGGATTTTTATTCGATTGCGCTGCTTTTCCATTGTTTTTTCTGTGTAAACATGGATGTGTTTGACTTTTGCGCTTGCGTCTCATGCATGAAACGGCTTTCTAAAAACACTGCGTTCAAGTTAAAATAAGTTCACTCCCATCTTCTTGCATGTTTT